AAATAGGTCCCTCTCCAGGTCCCGTTGTTCCAGCTCCTGGCCAAGTCGGTCCCGCTCCAGGCCCCGTCGTTCCAGCTCCTGGCCAAGTAGGTCCCTCTCCAGGTCCCGTCGTTCCAGCTCCTGGACAAGTCGGTCCCGCTCCAGGCCCAGTTTCTCCAGCTCTTGGCCAAGTCGGTCCCGCTCCAGGTCCCGTCATTCCAGCTCCTGGACAAGTCGGTCCCGCTCCAGGCCCAGTTTTTCCAGCTCCTGGCCAAGTCGGTCCCGCTCCAGGCCCCGTTGTTCCAGCTCCTGGCCAAGTCGGTCCCGCTCCAGGCCCCGTCGTTCCAGCTCCTGGCCAAGTAGGTCCCTCTCCAGGTCCCGTTGTTCCAGCTCCTGGCCAAGTAGGTCCCTCTCCAGGTCCCGTTGTTCCAGCTCCTGGCCAAGTAGGCCCCGCTCCAGGCCCCGTCGTTCCAGCTCCTGGCCAAGTAGGTCCCTCTCCAGGTCCCGTTGTTCCAGCTCCTGGCCAAGTCGGTCCCGCTCCAAACCCTCTGGCTCCAGCTTCAGGCCTGTTTGGTTCAGGTCTTTTGAAGAAAGTTTACTTCTGCAACCTGGTTGCAAAACAAGTAGTTGTATGCTTTTTTAAACTGACATCTACCCCTATCCAATTAACTTCATCTGTAAAACCTTCGAGTCCCGATTCTCTAATTTCCATTCAATCAAAGAAGCCATTCTTTTGTAGATATATAGTGAGTACTCAGAACTACTTTACATGTAGCTATCAAGAAAACTTTCCAAGCCCACCGCAACCAGGATTTATATGCAGTTACATTTCTCATGCTCATTTTACAATTAAATGTACAAGCACAGATGTTTCGCCTTTTCCAGTGCCAGTAACACCAATCACTTCACCCTTAGTACCAACAAATACCCTAATGCCTTTGGTTCCGGTTACCTCTGGCTCCAACGTAAACTCAGGAACATTCCCAGGGTTAGTTAATCCAGCCCCAACAAGTCCTCTAGCGCCATTGCCAGGCCCAGGCTTGGCTGGTTTAGTTACAAGTACTACTCATGATAAAGAGACAGGTGGTTCAGTTGGTCCAACCGGTACCCTAATTGGCACAATTCCAGTTTCTCATGGTTCATCTTCAGAATTACAGAAAAATAAACTTCAATGTACTTTTATTCAAGGAACCTCGCTCGCTGAATGTATTTATCAGAAACTAACCCAGTCTGGAAATCAAGAAACAAGTTATGGGTTTTATGGGAAAAAATTACTTTGTCAAGTTTTAAACGTTGATTCAACTGCAATCCAGTGCTTTTATGGTCTTTTTACCACCTCCCAACCCATCCAATTGAATTTTTCTACAGAAAAATATAGTTGCTACTACCAAAATGATATCAACAGTTTCCAATGTTCCTTCAAAGAGACTTACATCGGTCCAAATCCTGCGCCGCAAGTGCAGCCCATG